CACACACACACACATTCTCACGCGCGCCAGCCTCTTAAAAACCTTACATACTGGCGATCAGAAGAAAAGTACCGTATCACATTCAGATTGCGTAAAAAATATCGACATTTGAGTCTTTACGCTTTTCCTTTCAGTGAATAATACTTAGTAGTCTAAAAAGCATGTTATGTTATGAAAATAACATTTTAGTGCTCTAATTAGTGTGTGTTCACAGCACCAACACCAAACAAATAGAAGATAAGAACTTTGTAATCAAACACCATAATAGCAATTGATCCTTGTCACCCAAGAAAGATAGTAGGTTTAACTGAACATCAGAGAAATCGGCGATCTCCACTCGTTTTTTGCTGTTGCAAGGACAGCCAGCGTCAGTTATCTGTTGACATGGAATGTCCTGGCAACAGCAGAAACGCTCGGAGCACGCCGATGGCTCAATTTCTCTTACTTTTCTTCACTCCTCCAACAATATCAGCTACTGTGACGTTCCGCCGGAAGTCCTCAGGAGCCAGTACCCAGTTTCTCTGTGTGTCGTGGATGCGACCTGCAGGTAGAACGTTATGGATTTACTTTGTTTGATTGCTAAGTGTTTTACGGCGCTCGCAACTTCATAAGGTCGTAAGAACGAGCGGGGCACACCAAACATATTCAGTTTGTTAAGAATCAATTTTGAATTTTGCCGGGGTGGCGGCCGAAGCCTAGTCTTATCGATTTTAGACCCCACCAAAAGATATTTTATGTACGCAACTTGCATACGGGACCTCCGAGGTTTTTAATCCTTATCCGAGAAGGCTAGCCCAGAAGAGATGGGGTCAGAAAGTACAGACGAAAGCAGACAACAGAAACGGTTAGAGAGCAGGTAAGGAGGTGAAAGGAGACAATTTTAGAGAACAAAATGTTCCGTCTCTGTCAAGTTTTGAACCCAGAACCTATAGAATGAGAGGCAAATACCGTAACGTCTTGACCACGAGAGCCCCCATGATTTACTTTGTCTGTTTATGCTGACCCACAAGCCAGAAACAAAAATGTGATTACGAGGCCATGTTGTGGTTAGGTATGGTATGGTATGTCCTTGTATGAAAGAATAAATGTTTGTACAATTACAGATAGCTCTTGTTTTAGCAACCACAGCTCCAAGCTGGTAGAATAATTATATTGTATGTTACAGTATTGTGTTGTATTATGTTAGGGTTGGGTATGTTACATGCTGTTGAATTCTTATAGGGGATTGAACATCTAGCTCTCACTGACAAACTTAAAGGCAGACGAAGCAGGGGTAGACCCAAATTTACTTATTTGAAAACCCTATTTACAATGGTGACGGGTAGGGATCAGGATCATATAGCTTTTTTTAGAGCCTCAGAGGAAAGGAATGAATGGATGTCTGTCGCAGATCTGGCACTTGATGAGGATGATGGTATTTTATGGTATGGTGTGGTACTATGGTAAGATATGGAATTGATCTTATTCCCATTTCAAACATTACAAGGTTCTTTAAGAAAAGGGTAATCCCATCTAAAGCTCATACCACATGGGACCGAACCAAGCGGGTTAGAGATCCATGAATACCCCACAAGCAACCCAAGTCCGGAGACGTTCTGTGAGGGGTCCGAACAAGGGTAAATTACAGCCTGATACCAATTAAACTAATGGCCCATCTCTAGACACAAAATAATCTCAAGTTTTATAGGAAACAGTTGGGTAACTCGTAGAATAAATATCTGGCGTCGACCTCACTTTTGCACTCTTGTGATGGACATGGAAGGCCCGGCAAAGAAAAAAAAGTAAGCCCCAAAACTGAATAGAGTTGGGCCCCCTTTCGATTTGGTCTGTAAGGCTTTACAATCACACCAATCAAAACACGAAAAAGGCACTGAATAACAAAAAGAAGAAAACAAAACTAACCAACAACAACAAACCATCAAACAAACAAACAACCAAACAAACAAACGAACAAACAAAAACAACACAACGCGCCCAACAAAAGCAACAGCAACCAAACCCCAAAAACAAAACAAAAAACCCAGAAACAATCGGGAAAAAAAGAAAAAAAAAAAAAGCCAAGACAACCCGTATCATTTTGAGTGTAACCCGCTTGCGTTGTGCCAGCTCACCTTTCCTGATGGTCCACCGAATGTGTTCTATTGTCTGATCTTTCGGGTTATCAAAGACCACGGAGTCAAAGTTACCGCCCTTGATGTGGTACACCAGACGATCCACGTTTGGCGGGATGCACAGTTTGTGGAATACGTCATCAAGGCGCATGCCCGGCGTGAAGATGTCGCCGGTGCTGGATCTGGACGTGGACGACTTCTTGTTTTTCTTTCTCTTGGTTTTTCGCTTTTTGCCTCTCCCTAAACAATATACAGTTCTGATATGTAATATATTCATCATATAAATTATGCTGCTTCTATACAATTATCTTATAATTTTTCTTTGAATAATAACAAATATACAATATATTTATTTT